AATTTAAGTTTTAACACCTTATTATGATCAAACATGTTTCCTAGCAATAGATGAACTATTTATGTTAAAACTTTCCTTGTTATTTATTATACAATAAACGTTTCTGTGATGTCTTCCAGATGGTCCATAATACTTCCTTTAAGTTGGGTCAAAGCTTTCTGGGTTCCACTCATCTCTAATGGGGCACGTTTTGAAGTAAGTTTTTGCACCCCTTAACATCTTAAAAAATGCAAAATTTCTGCTTTTTCATATGTAACTAAAATAGTGCATGAAAACTTCTCTTCATAATGATGGGGCTACCATTTTTTCCTTCAGATTTTCCAGATTGTAAGGCATATTCTTGATTTATGGAAGCTAAAGCTGCTGCATTTAATAAAAAAACAGAACTTCATCCTCAACTCGTGTTGTAGTGCATAAACACTTAGTGTGTTTGGATTCACATTTGATGGGCAACATATTTACATTTATTTCATCGTTACTAAGTGCACTAATGTGATTTAAAGCATGTTCAAACGCGATCACAGACGTATAGGGCTATTACTGTGTTTGCTCACATCAGAAGCAAGACAACTTCACTACTCCCTCATTAATGATATGTTTGATGATATGAATCAATCCAGTGCAACTTATTTATCACAAGAGAACCCTTTAGGATATTAAAAGCACTTTTAGCTAATTTGTAATACAAAAACTCGGTAAAAGTAGCTCCAATGAAAAATTACAAAACATTCTTGCAACTTCTGGAAGTAAGAATGACAAACGTTGAAAATATCAAAGTAGATAAACAAAATTTACATGCCCAAAAACCAGTACAAAATTTTACAGTTGTACATCAAGGTAGAATCCAAGTCATGAGTAAATAACGTGGATAAAATGGAAAATGTCAAATAATCATAAGTAATTCATTTAGCTATCAATCTTTATTTTATGAAGGTCACTGCAATTTGAATTTGTGAGTTGTTTCTGGAAGACACATGACTGTAATTGTTAGTGCAACTAACTCTCACATTCATGAAGTATTCAAAAAGTACTTTTTGCTGTTGATGATTGGGAACTGTGGAGAAGATTTTGTAATGCCAGATTTATCTCATGGATCGAACAACTGTCCCAAGCCAATCATCCGGGATGCTGCTTCCCAGATCTCCATTTAAGGCCCTTAATGAGTGGCTTGTTGCTGCCTGAAATGCAGCTACAACTTTCAACATTAGGAGCTCTAAGGTATAACACAGATAAAATATAAAAAAAATTACTTTTACAATGTAGACATCAATTCCAAGTTTTGCTATCATTGCAGCTTCCGTGATCTTTGTTTTCATCCCACCAGTTGTGTCATGAGCTGCAACAGTTAGCTTAACTGTAGAAAAAACAGCCACAAAATTCAATCTATAAATTCAAATCACATATCCAGAGCAAGCATGCACATCAAATTAGAATTAGTAATTTAACAACAAATGCGTACATAAAAGCTTCTATTCTAGAAATTTTTAATTATGGTGTCAGGGAAATAGCAAAATATAAAGAAAATCTGTGCCCTAACTCATGATGAGTTGGCTACCCTATTGTGATAACTTATGGTTTATGAGTGAGAATAAAATATCACGAGATCTTCTAGTTGAACTTCAGCTATACAGCTTCATGCTACTGAGTCAATAGATTCCGACTCCATTCCAACAAAACTCTTTACAAATCAGGACACTGCACTGAGAACTATGCTGTCTTGGTCATTTCAGCTCTCTCTAGGCCGACCAAAAAGGCAGAATAACTAAAAGGGCGTTTGGAAACACGTTGGAAAACTTGTAAATGTAGATCCAATGCAGAAACTACAACTAGTAGTACTGAAGTAAATGTAAATCCAAACACACATTAAGTTATTGTGAAACGTGAATATCTAAAAGGTTCTCATAGAACTGTTACTGGACTAATTCAGAACATGTTCCACTGCAAAAAATATGACCAAATAGTAGAGGAGAAAGCAAACTGTATAATAATTCCTTATTCTGCTTACTTGAGTTTTGCAAATTTGGCTTACAACTGACCAGCTTCCATCCTCAGCAACAGCTGTCATAATTGAAAATGTTAAGTAACAACCAACCTTGAAGAGAAGAGTCATATGGAAGATCAAGTTTAGAACAAGTGCTCACCAATTTCCTTTAAGAGTATTGCATTTGGTTCCATTGGTGGGCGATCATACACCCCATACACGTCTGTCTTTCAGCCATGCTTAATGGAAAACATAATTGTAATGTCTCCTAAAATTTAAGATTTATAATTGTGATACGCTGTTCCAAGATAATTGAAAATTTTGTTTTTGCATATCAATACAACTCTTTTAACAGCAAAATGCATGTTTGCTACAGATTGAACCCAAAAAAGATGCCATTCTCCAAGTTTCAAGGCACTTCTATATGCAGCAAGAAAAATGAGGTTGAAACCGACATTTGGATTATTAAAAACGTGGCTAGTTAAAGAAAAATGAGAAGTTGGGGTTATTATCAATAATTCAATAAATTTGTGGTATTCATCACTTGAAGGGATATACTGACTTGGAGACCATTTGGTTTGGTATGCTCAGAAAGAGCTTTATATTTGTAGCAATTCAAGAATAAAAAAAGGTACACATGATATACTGAGGATACCAGGAAAACTACATATTTAGGCTTTGAGTATCTAGCCAAATGACTTATGATCATCTCCACTCAAAATAGTACATCCTTTAATTTCATCAAATACTGCATCTCCATGCAGAACCTAGACAAATGGCATTGAACCCCTCATTATTCAAGGTAAAGAGAAAATTGAATAAAAGAAAAACCAGTTACAGGCTTTGGAACCTTCAAAGGAAAGGTCAAAGGAAAAAAAAAAATGTGTAGTTTCATAACTTTGATTTTATAGAAAGAAAAAACTACTTTTCTTTTTCATTTGCAGCTGTATAGTCTTATTCCATTAGCTTTAGACAATGCAAAAAGAATAATTTAGTGCTCAAGCAAAGAGGGTATAATTAGGATCGTTCAGATGGAACTATCCTAGTACCCTGAACCCCTGCCAGCCATGTATTTATTAGCTAGTGACTATAACACACTGGCAGATCCAACATTCTAGTTTACTTTTTCTCAGCATGTATCACCCATGAAGAACTCTTCATCCACGATAAACAAGGCTTTCACCAATTTTTAGTTTAATATTTTAAAACTATCAAATGATCTTTCTTAGAAATATATACAAACAATAAAAGACCATTCAAATATAACCAAAAAAAAAAAAAGGTTAACTTAAAAAAGGGTTAAAGAAAAATATTTAAATCTTCAAAGTAGTGATATAAAATAAGAATTTGCTCTTACAGATGTAAAATCAGAATCAATTGCCTTAGCCACCGAAGATAATTCAGCTGAAAATATCTGCACATGTTGAATAAACTTAGACGAGTAACGTTATCTGAAAAGACAGATGAAGTCTACAATTCATTATGTTGATGGATATAATCTGACAAATATTCAGTTGAGAGTTTACTAACATGTCTCTCACTGGTGTACCATCCACATGAGAAGGGTGACAGTCCAATTGAAGGAATGCCCTCTGCACAGAGAAACAAATATCTTTTAGAATGAATTCCAATGCTTGAAAAGAATATGAAACCAAAAGAAGAGGCTGAAACAGATAGCAGCAAGCCAGCAAGTATTAAGTTTCAGCAGAAGGATGATTATTAGCAATGCAGCAAACAGCATATACAAACATTTTCATTACAGATAAAAATAAAATCCTCATTCATCGGATGAAAAGGGATATGCCACAAACACCTCCATTTTTGGCGGATTATTGGTGCTCTCCAGACAGACAAAATTTTCACATTGATTTTTACTTGCACAAGTTTATTTCTGTTAGCCTTAAGGTCTTTCTATAAGCACAGATTGACATCTATGAGCAAAATAAAAAAAGGAGATTGAATGATTGCACTTCATTATTCCATTAAGTCACAAGGTAAGGACAGTGTCATGTTAATAAATACAAGCTAGCCCAAAATAATGAAACTGGGAATATGTCATACTACATACTAGTAAAAAATAAAAATAGTGATCATTGGTAAAAAATGAACATAATACCAATGGAGATAGATAACAACCATGTATGCCAAATCCCAATATGACTGAAAAGGTTTGATGTACATCATGCCGTTAGCAAGATAACATTCAGCAAATTACTGATGACCAACTAGATCATGGACTTAAAAGCAGAAAGGCTTGAAACAAAAGATCAATACCCAATGTTTTGATACAACAAGAATATTTGGGTATATATATAGATAGCAATAATTGTAAAATTACCTCTGGCTAGTGCCCTAACGATTTCAAGATTAAGTGTGGTTACCTGAAATTGAAAACAAATGGTATGATAAGCGTAGAGGAGATCCTCATTCTGAAAGTAACTAGTATAATAACAACTTATTATGATTTAAAAATCTGTCCTTATCAGAACAGTCTTGAGATACCACCAATCAATGTGATTTTTATGACATTCCAGTCAAATTCTCCTCCATTTCAAATTAATATCTATGCCTGATGTACACAAATTAGATTCAGAAGGCTTCTTTATCAGGATTGGTAAACTTTGAGGAGCTGTTATATAGTACAATACCACACTTTTGACTTTGTGACACTAATAGCAAAGCATTTCAGACAGCATTACGGTTACAAAATAGACAAGAAAATGCAAACAAAAGCACACACTTCCATTCTTTGATTTTCTTCTTCTTTTAGTATGAGCTTCACTTTGCTGTTGGAGTTTTCATTTCTACGTAACCAATTTCCCTTGATCTTTCATTTTGATGTGATACCAATACCATGTCTGTTTCTGGATAAATAGTTGTTTATTTTTTAAGAAAGTGTGTGCTTTTGTTTCTGATCACAAAGAACTTGAATACATTCTGAACATACATAGATACTTAGATTATAATATATATAACAAGAATATTAATTGTAACTAAAACTTTTTTTTGTTTAAGAATAATGAAATGCAGAAAAGTGTACAGAGACTTGCTATACAAGCCCGGAAATTTATGATATACATTCTTCAAACTGATGCATAGCTATTTAAATTAACAATAATCACAAATTGTTAAATTATGAGAGCATTCACAAGCTTATTATTTGCAGAAAATGGATATGCTCACCTCTTGTAGGTAATGAATACAATCAGTGTATCTAACATTATCCAGGTTACTTCGAGGACCATCTTCTAAGTCTTGACTATATACAGAATTATTATTGCAAACACTTGTGGAACAGGGAAATGTTGATGGCATGTATAAGATGTTGAGATATGAATCAGCAGAAAGAGAATTATCCAAGATTATAGGTGCACTTTTAGCTAGATGTTACCTGAAGCAGAAATTTAATCAGAGGTTATTTCTGTAAAATGACTAAGATCTAAAGGTGTCTTCAGTCCCTACTTTTCCCCCATTGATTTCCTTCCTTTTCTCGCTATTCCAGAACAATGCGAGCAATACTTCCAAATCATTAACCAGCTTTACCAGCCAGAAGTCAAAGCATAAACATTTAGGTTTGTGGTCTAGATAACTTTGTGCTCAAAATATCTAACCTAAGCTGCCCCAATTAGGTGCAAAATGAGCAGCAACCTCTGAAAAATCAAGTTACCAACCATTCTTGTTCATGACAAGAAATATCATCGAGTCTCATTGGAGAAACTTGATTATCTAACTATCTGAACAAGATCTTCGACCAAAAGATAAAACGGATATAAATTCAAATAAAGAAAACAATACAAACATTTAATACAAATATTAGAGATATTCCCTACTTTTGAACACAATTGACCCAACTTAGCTTTTATATCAATAAAAATCCTGTTACAATACAACAAAAAGATAAAAACCATAAATGCATAATATCTTACATAGAACAAACAGTAGAAACATCAACTGGTGAGTCATCTTCAATTGTATTAGTAATCTCTAAAATCACAGGTCCAGGATCACCATTGGTCAACTGAAGAGCTTGCCTGAAATGAAATATGAATATGAGATATAAACTGCAATAATGACTGAGCTAAAGCATAATCCCCCAAAAAAGAGCTTCACATACTTAAATTTCTCGAGCATGTCCACAGCGCTCCGTCCAAATTAATGCATGACGCCATGCATTACACACTGGGAAAACATTAATCAAAAGAAGGACAATATTCTTTATTTAAAATGTCAAAGCAAATAATAAAACATGATCACTGCATCAAGAGTGAGTCGGGCAATTCGGAAGCACACTCAAGCCCTGCAGTTTCTTATCCCAAGGGTGTTTGCTGCATCAAGCGGTTAGCCAGAGTGGCTAACCACACTATTCTAGAAAGCAGAGGCTTAACTACAAAGCAAAGATTGAGACAAAGACTTACTCGCAATTCTGCTGAAGGGAAGACATATTTATGCACTTTACTTAGGCCCATTTTAAACCCGCGTTTCGGCTGCATTGAAGTCTAGTAATGACGTAGAATGTTCGTCATGAAAAATTTGGATAGGATAATAGGTATTTTTGTCTCTGAATCCATGAACCCAATTTTTTGTCTCTCAGAGGATGTGCACCAAGAGATATATGAAATACTCGAGTATATAATATATATAAATATCATATGACTAAATTATGCTTATTAGTTTATTTTTGCAAGAAGCACTCCTGTTCGAGTTTATGCGATTAATTCGATGTAGATGCACGAAACCAATCATGAAACTAACAAAAAACAAGTACATGATTCACAAGAAACGCATGGAAAATAACAATAAAGGCCTTGAACTTGGAACAGTTCTTTTTTTAAATTCAGGGTAAAAAAAAAAGGATGGAAATGAACTAAAACCTAGCCAGTAATCATAGTTCCAGCACCTTCATCAGTTAAAATCTCGAGAAGCAAAGAGTGAGGAACACGGCCATCAATAATACTAGCAGTGGTAACCCCTTGAGCAAGTGAACGAACGCAACAATTGACCTTTGGGATCATTCCACCGCCGACCTTTCCATCTTTCATCATTCTCTTAACCCCTTTTATATCGATCTTCTTCACCAAGCTATTCGGGTCATTTCGATCCTCCAATATTCCCACCACGTCCGTCAACAATATCAACTTCGCCGCACCCAGCGCCGCCGCCAACTCTCCGGCCACCGTATCTGCATTTATGTTGTACGGCTGTCCGAACTCATCCGCCGCCACCGACGTCACCACCGGAATGTGGTTACTCTCGACTAACGATCGGAGAACGGTCGGATCCACTCTCGAAACCTCGCCGACAAATCCTAGGTCTGCGGCTTTAGGGCTAGGGCGCGCCGTTAGGAGGCGGCCATCCATGCCGGAGAGGCCGACGGCGGTGGCTCCGGCCTTGTTGATGAGCGAGACGAGCGTTTTATTGACCTTGCCGACGAGGACCATGGAGACGATTTCCATGGTGTCGGCGTCGGTGACGCGGAGGCCGTCGCGGAAGACGGCGGGAATGTTGAGTCGGCTGAGCCAGTTGTTGATCTCGGGGCCGCCACCGTGGACCATGACGGGGCGGAGGCCGACGCAGGAGAGGAGGACGAGGTCGTTGATGACGGAGGCTTGGAGTTCCGGGGACTTCATGGCGGCGCCGCCGTACTTGACGACGATGGTTTTACCTCTGAATTTCTGAATGAAAGGGAGCGATTCGGAGAGGACGTCGACTCGGTACTGACCCGGAGTGGCTGACTCAGTGGCGGTGGGTGGAAGCTGGATTTGGCTAGCCACCGCTGATATGGTACGAGAGCGAGTGGAAGGGTAGGAGAAATTAGAGGGCGTTGTGGTTTGGGTTTTGGTTTTGGTTGTGAATGGAAAAGATGAACACAGATTAGTGAGACTTTTTGCTGCCCCTCCCATCATTTTGTTTACAGAGAGTGTGAAGTCGAAGTAGCAGAGCAGGGAGGGTTTTGGTATGAAGTGTACTTAGCAACCGCTCTCAGAATGTTTGGTTCTCAAGTGTTTGGTATGAAGTGAACATATTTTATTTGATTCTCAAATGTTTTTCAATTCCATATTCTTCGTAACTATTTTTTTAATTCCATACTCATAAAATCACAAAGCTCCAAGGTTAAATCAAAGGTAACTTTGAAAAACATAAAATTATCTTTTTAATTATTAAAACTAATTATTATTATTATTATTATTATTATTATTATTATTATTTTGTCTATACTGTAATTATTTTTTGTAGTAGTTAATTTTATTTAAGTAGCAAAATATGAACGAATTTTTTTTATTTTAATATTTAATATAGTTGTATTGAAACTCAACTTAAAATCTTAAGTTAAATTAAAATATTCTTAGAGTAGTTAATCTATATATTTGATGATTAATAATAATTATTTGATATAGTTATTTGTTATTCGTCATTTTTAAGATGTTAATTAAAAAAAATATATTCAATTTATTTAACTATAGCAATCTTAATATTTAATTTTTAAACAATTTGAACTATTAAAAAGATATATTAAATTTTATTTGATTAAAAAGAATGTTATTTATCACATCTTTTAATATAACATTTTTCTTACATTTATCTTTAGAATTTATTTTATGTAATTAAATGTTAAAGTTTTATATAAGAAAAATAAATATATGCTATATTAAAAATAATTAAAAATCAACTTACCAAACTAAGAAAATTAAAATCAATAATTTTTTTTTCAAATCAATCTTTAAAGTTGGTGTTGATAAAATTGTTTAATATAATATATTAATTTGTTATTATTTTAAAAGAAGTATGAACAATTGTTTTTTAGTGTTTTAGATTAAAATTATTTTCCATATAATTGAGTTTAATTTTTTTATTTGAAAATAATATATATTTAACATCAATTTAAAATATTTGATTTTATTTAAACAATAAAAGATTTCTTATAATATAAATATTTTATGTATGTAAACAGAACCATTTTTGTAAAAATAAAAAATTCTCTTTAAAATATTTTGACTTGATATAGAGAAAATTTTAAAAGTCTAAAATTTAGAACAATTTCCTATTTTGCTTGAATTCCTATGCAATTACATTTTATTTACCAGAAACATAATTTACAAATATGGTAATTGACCATATAAAACTGGTAATTACATTTTAAATAAGATGGTAATTGATTCCAGATATTAGTAATGTTGCAGTTATTACATTAAACACTAAGAGAGCGGTTCAACTAGAATCGCTTTGCAATAAGGACTTCTGATAGCGGTTCAATTGGAACCACTGTCTAAAATACACTTATGAGAACGGTTAAATAGTACACTTATGAGAGCGGTTCAACATAATGAATTGTAGACTTCATCTGTCTTTTCAGATAACGTTACTCGTCTAAGTTTATTCAACATGTGCAGATATCTTCAGCTGAATTATCTTTGGTGGCTAAGGCAATTGATTCTGATTTTACATCTGTAAGAGCAAATTCTTATTTTATATCACTACTTTGAAGATTTAAATATTTTTCTTTAACCCTTTTTTAAGTTAACCTTTTTTTTTTTTGGTTATATTTGAATGGTCTTTTATTGTTTGTATATATTTCTAAGAAAGATCATTTGATAGTTTTAAAATATTAAACTAAAAATTGGTGAAAGCCTTGTTTATCGTGGATGAAGAGTTCTTCATGGGTGATACATGCTGAGAAAAAGTAAACTAGAATGTTGGATCTGCCAGTGTGTTATAGTCACTAGCTAATAAATACATGGCTGGCAGGGGTTCAGGGTACTAGGATAGTTCCATTTGAACGATCCTAATTATACCCTCTTTGCTTGAGCACTAAATTATTCTTTTTGCATTGTCTAAAGCTAATGGAATAAGACTATACAGCTGCAAATGAAAAAGAAAAGTAGTTTTTTCTTTCTATAAAATCAAAGTTATGAAACTACACATTTTTTTTTTTCCTTTGACCTTTCCTTTGAAGGTTCCAAAGCCTGTAACTGGTTTTTCTTTTATTCAATTTTCTCTTTACCTTGAATAATGAGGGGTTCAATGCCATTTGTCTAGGTTCTGCATGGAGATGCAGTATTTGATGAAATTAAAGGATGTACTATTTTGAGTGGAGATGATCATAAGTCATTTGGCTAGATACTCAAAGCCTAAATATGTAGTTTTCCTGGTATCCTCAGTATATCATGTGTACCTTTTTTTATTCTTGAATTGCTACAAATATAAAGCTCTTTCTGAGCATACCAAACCAAATGGTCTCCAAGTCAGTATATCCCTTCAAGTGATGAATACCACAAATTTATTGAATTATTGATAATAACCCCAACTTCTCATTTTTCTTTAACTAGCCACGTTTTTAATAATCCAAATGTCGGTTTCAACCTCATTTTTCTTGCTGCATATAGAAGTGCCTTGAAACTTGGAGAATGGCATCTTTTTTGGGTTCAATCTGTAGCAAACATGCATTTTGCTGTTAAAAGAGTTGTATTGATATGCAAAAACAAAATTTTCAATTATCTTGGAACAGCGTATCACAATTATAAATCTTAAATTTTAGGAGACATTACAATTATGTTTTCCATTAAGCATGGCTGAAAGACAGACGTGTATGGGGTGTATGATCGCCCACCAACGGAACCAAATGCAATACTCTTAAAGGAAATTGGTGAGCACTTGTTCTAAACTTGATCTTCCATATGACTCTTCTCTTCAAGGTTGGTTGTTACTTAACATTTTCAATTATGACAGCTGTTGCTGAGGATGGAAGCTGGTCAGTTGTAAGCCAAATTTGCAAAACTCAAGTAAGCAGAATAAGGAATTATTATACAGTTTGCTTTCTCCTCTACTATTTGGTCATATTTTTTGCAGTGGAACATGTTCTGAATTAGTCCAGTAACAGTTCTATGAGAACCTTTTAGATATTCACGTTTCACAATAACTTAATGTGTGTTTGGATTTACATTTACTTCAGTACTACTAGTTGTAGTTTCTGCATTGGATCTACATTTACAAGTTTTCCAACGTGTTTCCAAACGCCCTTTTAGTTATTCTGCCTTTTTGGTCGGCCTAGAGAGAGCTGAAATGACCAAGACAGCATAGTTCTCAGTGCAGTGTCCTGATTTGTAAAGAGTTTTGTTGGAATGGAGTCGGAATCTATTGACTCAGTAGCATGAAGCTGTATAGCTGAAGTTCAACTAGAAGATCTCGTGATATTTTATTCTCACTCATAAACCATAAGTTATCACAATAGGGTAGCCAACTCATCATGAGTTAGGGCACAGATTTTCTTTATATTTTGCTATTTCCCTGACACCATAATTAAAAATTTCTAGAATAGAAGCTTTTATGTACGCATTTGTTGTTAAATTACTAATTCTAATTTGATGTGCATGCTTGCTCTGGATATGTGATTTGAATTTATAGATTGAATTTTGTGGCTGTTTTTTCTACAGTTAAGCTAACTGTTGCAGCTCATGACACAACTGGTGGGATGAAAACAAAGATCACGGAAGCTGCAATGATAGCAAAACTTGGAATTGATGTCTACATTGTAAAAGTAATTTTTTTTATATTTTATCTGTGTTATACCTTAGAGCTCCTAATGTTGAAAGTTGTAGCTGCATTTCAGGCAGCAACAAGCCACTCATTAAGGGCCTTAAATGGAGATCTGGGAAGCAGCATCCCGGATGATTGGCTTGGGACAGTTGTTCGATCCATGAGATAAATCTGGCATTACAAAATCTTCTCCACAGTTCCCAATCATCAACAGCAAAAAGTACTTTTTGAATACTTCATGAATGTGAGAGTTAGTTGCACTAACAATTACAGTCATGTGTCTTCCAGAAACAACTCACAAATTCAAATTGCAGTGACCTTCATAAAATAAAGATTGATAGCTAAATGAATTACTTATGATTATTTGACATTTTCCATTTTATCCACGTTATTTACTCATGACTTGGATTCTACCTTGATGTACAACTGTAAAATTTTGTACTGGTTTTTGGGCATGTAAATTTTGTTTATCTACTTTGATATTTTCAACGTTTGTCATTCTTACTTCCAGAAGTTGCAAGAATGTTTTGTAATTTTTCATTGGAGCTACTTTTACCGAGTTTTTGTATTACAAATTAGCTAAAAGTGCTTTTAATATCCTAAAGGGTTCTCTTGTGATAAATAAGTTGCACTGGATTGATTCATATCATCAAACATATCATTAATGAGGGAGTAGTGAAGTTGTCTTGCTTCTGATGTGAGCAAACACAGTAATAGCCCTATACGTCTGTGATCGCGTTTGAACATGCTTTAAATCACATTAGTGCACTTAGTAACGATGAAATAAATGTAAATATGTTGCCCATCAAATGTGAATCCAAACACACTAAGTGTTTATGCACTACAACACGAGTTGAGGATGAAGTTCTGTTTTTTTATTAAATGCAGCAGCTTTAGCTTCCATAAATCAAGAATATGCCTTACAATCTGGAAAATCTGAAGGAAAAAATGGTAGCCCCATCATTATGAAGAGAAGTTTTCATGCACTATTTTAGTTACATATGAAAAAGCAGAAATTTTGCATTTTTTAAGATGTTAAGGGGTGCAAAAACTTACTTCAAAACGTGCCCCATTAGAGATGAGTGGAACCCAGAAAGCTTTGACCCAACTTAAAGGAAGTATTATGGACCATCTGGAAGACATCACAGAAACGTTTATTGTATAATAAATAACAAGGAAAGTTTTAACATAAATAGTTCATCTATTGCTAGGAAACATGTTTGATCATAATAAGGTGTTAAAACTTAAATTATCTAAAATTTATGTTATTGTTTTTCTTGTATATCTTTAATAAGGATATCACAAATACCTATCGATTGTTTTCAAGAAAAGAAGCACTCCAATAGTACTAGATAGATGTTCATAAACATACACAATTTCAAACAAATTAAAAGAAATAATAGATCAAGAAAGTTACCCTGTAATCAATTCCTTCATATAATTTTTTAGAAGAAGAATAGCGCAGGATCCCCAGCACTGCACCTTAGTCGAAGAGTTGGCCTCCCCAAGA